TTTTCAGATTTAACTCTTTAATTTTCGCAGAAGGGCTTGTTTCCTGGACATACTATATGCGTTTTTGACATGTTACTTATCATTTAATTGCAGCAATTGACAAAATCTCCACATGACTACCCGGACAAGAAATCACTGGCTCATGTTAACGTTGCTTTGCGCATGCTCAGCAAGGGAAGAAAAGTGAACCCTGGTGACACTATCCCATACGTCATTTGCGACGTAAGTACAAAGTCTGTGCTTATTTTGCTGGCTTTCGGGAATTCGACCAAAAAAACGAGAAGTCCAAATACTACTGCAAAGCTGATCATAACAACGTGTATTGCCTTTTTATAACAATATTTCCGCTGGCCATACCAGCCTTCTTCAAGTTTACAGATGTAACTGAACTATGATAGGAATTACAATATTATATAGATGGAGAATGTCGCAATAAAATTTGTCTAAAAGGGAGAGACGGAAATGACGTACAACGTAAAAAAAGAAAGGAAAAACTTTTTAGGATATCTAGCCGAATTTTTGACAACCAACCTAACGAAATTTGCCGTCATTTGAGCGAAAAGGCGTCAAAAGGCAGGTTCCTTGGGCCCGAGAAGCTCCAAAATCACACTAACGAAAATAAATTCTCCTGAGATGACGTCACAGACAAGTTCTCCACCCCAGCTCCCTTAATTAACGCACTCGTAGGGATTTCTGCGTTCCATTTTTACATCTCCCATAATACACCCTGTTTACCTCCCCCCCCCCAAAAAAAAAATTGAATAAGCATTGTCTTCAATTCTCTTTGGACGACTGTAATACCCAGGAGAAATTGAAAACAAACGTTATGCAAATTGTTGGGGTGGAGGGGCAAACAAGATGTGCAAATGGTGAATAGCCTCTTCATTCACTTGGTAGAAAACCGCCTCGCGGGATAGCAAGAGACTCATTGGGACAAGATTGTTTGTCTTGTCCCAGTGCGACTTTTGCTCTCCAGCATGGCGGTTTTTTACCACGTGAATGGCCAGCTGCAAAGATCCCATAGGATATCGCTCAACATTAAACAAAGAAGGAAACCCTGGAATTTTACCAATCGCTTAGTTAAATTTTTTTTTTCAAACTGTTTCCTTTAGGACGGTTCCACCTTAGCTGCAAGTCAGCGAGCTTATCATCCGGACGAGTTCTGCAAATCTGAAACACTCAAGATCGGTATCCTTTAAATATATTACCGTTATTAAGAACAAAACCAAAAAAAGACACTTTTCGCGACGACACCACTGTTTTTCGCGCGAAATGACGTCAGAAGAAACGCGAGCAGAAATTCCATACTGATGACGTGTCACTACCCAGATCTAGCTTCTGATTGGATGAATTGGATGAAGTAAATTTCCAACCAATCAGAAGCAGTACCCAGATCTGGTTAGCGACGCGTCCTTAGCATGACTGCAATCTCTGCGCTCGTCCCTCAGACGTCATTGGTGGCGTCACGAAATGTCTGCTGTTTTCTCAGGCTACGATGGGTGCTTAAAGACGAAGGTCGGTTCTACTCTGGATATTCTATTGTTATTTATGACATGATTATAAACTGTGGGAATAAACCTAAAACTGGGCGAAAGCAACTCGGGCAGGATCAACTCCGCCCTATTATTTGGGTGGGAGGGTGGACAGAGGGTCTCTTGACTTCCGCGGCCTCGCAAAAAGTGTTGGATTGAAACACTGGTAGCTTCTTTATGCATTATTCCCAGGGTATCAATTACCAATGCAAGTCGGTTGTTTTACACTCCTTGACGCATTTAAATCCTAGATGTGAAATACTATCTCGCTAATCAGGTCCACCCAGTTGTAGCTCGTTTGTGCGATCCCATCGACGGCACCGATGCAGCTCATATTGCCCAGTGTTTAGGTAAGTAAATTACCGATTTAACTCCGCGGCTAGAAAACTGCTTGCAATGCATCTAAACAAAATGTGTCTACTGATTAAGTCTGTTTAAAGTATTTTAACTCCTTTAGTGTTTTCTTGTATATTGCAACAACGAAATGACCTAATATCACAGTTTTATTCTCCCTAGAAGCCTCGGCTAGCTCTTTCTTTAGGGTAAAAACTCAAAGGCGGTCTATCCGTATTTGTGGCTTCTGGCAAGGATAATCGGCCTCTACTCCTACACCGGAAGCAGTCTTTCTGAAGTTCTCTACTTGCTATCTATCGTCTCATTGGTTCAGAGCATACGGTTAATTTTGGAAGTCAGCGCAACCTTCAAATCTGTTGGTTGAGCGCACAATGCGTGATTTCCAAGAGCAATGTCAATTTGTGTTCCGCGCGACGGTTCGTTTGTCGTTATTTTCTTTATTTTTTAACATTCAAACGGCTGCACTAAATTTTGTTGTTGTTGTTGGTTTTTCTTTTCAACGATCAGCATCGTTCTACGACAACCCTGTAAAGACGACGAGATTTCCGTGACCGTAGTCGAATTAACGGGTTTTTACTGTTCATTGAGATTCCCGTGAAACTGAATTTTTAAAAAGTTTAGCATCATTTTTTTATTCGCTGCGCAGGCCTGGATCCTTCTGGTTATCGCGGCAGCTCTGCCCTTCATGATGATGAAAATGACGCGTTGCTTGGTGGCCAGGCTCAGATGACAGACGAGGAAAGGTTTAAGGTCGGTTTAACTGTGAACACTTCCCCAGACTCAAAAGTTGTAACCGCCTCCGTCTCGATCACTCAATCTAGGAATTAAGGCGAAAGAAATGTTCTGGAAATGGAGGTTAAATAACACACTGAGACGTTTCGTTTTAACGTAAAGTGGATTGTGTCTACGACAATCGGCATGTTCTAAAATCCACAAGACCCGAACACAAAATTTGAGGGCGGGGGTAATTAAGGTGCATCATGGTCTTTGTGAAAATGGTGAATAGGTAAAAACACAAATAGAAACCCCAACCCTAATCTGTACCTTACTTGTTTCTCAAGGATTGTGAGCGATTTATAGTCAAGTGTAAACGCTCCAGCTGTGGTCAAGAAATGACCCTCGAACTCCTCTTTAAAGGCGCCGTAAGTACACTTTTAACAGTTAATGTTCATTTATAGTTTAACATCAAATGATATTATTTCCCTCAGTCATAGAGCTTATAATTTATACTATTCAGGGGTATAAAGTTAAGCACATTCAATGCATGAGTCATAGCTGAACAGGGATCTGTAGATTAAAGTCAAATCCGCAATTTTCCATTTTCGAAAACCAGCATTGTCGATCCCAAGCCTTTAGCAGAGGTAGATGTAGTTTATGCTTTGGTAAGGATTACCAATATGGAAAAAGTACATAACAATTCAAAAACAGATTTAGCAAGCTTTTAAAACTTGTTTTTATTGTTGTTTTAATTGAAGCAACCAAACGAAGCACATTACAAGGTTGCTATAGTTGAAAAACCACAAGTGCACAACATTTGTGGAGATACACTCGTAGTTACAGAAGTTATGGAAACTTAAAGCTGTTTAAAGTTTAAACTTTTTAAAATTCTTTTAGTAAGATAAGGACCGAAAATTAAACGTATAAAGTTTTAGGTCTAAAATAAATACTTCGCACCATTTTTTTTTTTTGTAGGCAGTCAACGATACATGTCCCGGATGTAACAATCAGTACAGCGCGGGCGCAGTTTCCAACCAGTTGAACGTTGCCATGCGCAGACACATCAAGGAATACTACATGGTAACTGAAGCAATTTTGTGAAGTGCTCACTTTTTGCAACTGCAGTTATATACAGTGGAACCTCGATTTAAATAAGTGCCAAGGGACTGGGGAAATTTTTTCGTCATATCAAAGGTTCGTTATATCGAAAACCTCGTTATCACCTCGACACAAGTTTTATCCTTTCACATTCATCTTTAGTTATCTTTCGGTCACATGCTGACATTTATTCGTTATATCGAGGTATATTTTACGTTTGCGTTTCTAGATTGTGTTCGTTATAACGACGATTTCGTTAAATCGAGTTTCTGTTCCATACATTTTACTGTAATTTTGGCCGGGTTGATGAAAATCGTTCTTTATACCGAGGACTTTGTTATATAGAGGTTCATTAAATCGAAGTTCCACTGTAATAAAGATAACAAAGCAACTCGTACGGCTTTTTGTGGGCTTTACACCAAGGAGCAAGAATTAGCACTTAGTCGGTTATTGCACGGCCTTCTGTGCAGGAGGGTCGGAGTTTGATTCCAAGATGTGACCCCAAATTCTTCTTTCAACTTCTTTCAACTTCTTTCCTTTCCGTGTAGCTTTAAATAGCTTTAAACACCTGTAAAACAGAGCACTGATGGGGAAAGGGAGGGGGTAAATATGAGCAACTGACGTAAACTAAGGAGGCTTTTTTATACCTCTACCTATTCATATGCACTTCATAATACATTCTCAAATGCTACTTCTGTTGCAGTAGCAAGAATGCGACCATCAGCAAGTGTCGTACCCGAGAGGGATTTGATAATGATGCCAGTCTTAAGGATATTTCCCTAAGTTAGTAAAAGACCTTGTTAGCCATATGTTTTGTTTTCCCAATTTAGACCCTTGACCTTAAATTGTGCAAGAATTGTTTCTTAACCTTGCCTAAACAAGTTTGTGCGTGCTCTTAAGTAACAATACTAAGATGGCTGTGAACAGTCTCTTTGTTGAAAAATTCCTTTGTTATTATGTTGTTGATTTTAATCCGGCTTTGAAGACATAGGAATCAAAACTAACCCACATTATAACTAACCGCACAGGGTTGGCAGAAATGCGAGGACCCGTCCTGTGGTTACAGCACGCGTCAAGTACCCCTGACACGTCAACGAGGCGCCCCTATGTGCCCACAATGCTTCAGGGCCCACTTGCATGCAGTGGTGAGTATAAAACTAAAACAAAGACAACTATGACCGTGCAAAATTTTTCTTTGACTCTGACGGTATTATCAGCTAAAACTATGTTCAAACGGACGGGGTCAACAATGTTTGGAGTTTTTAACCTCCGTGTTGCCAGTGGAGTGAACACGGTTCCACAACTCCCATCAATGTTAGGACCTGCAGTGCATCGTGGGAAGGATACAACCCATAAGACTTTGAAGACCATGTGTGGCCCCAACAATTTAACATTTCGTGGTCCAGCTCCTTTAGTGGTTGCCAATTTGTTTTGTTTTCAGTACTCCGACACAGCGCTGTACACTCAGCTATTGTATTTCTCGCGCTTGTTTGACTTCGATCACGCCGTGAAAAATGCAAAAACAGGTCAGTATTTTGAGTAAGTGCCGAGTGTGAGTAAAAACGTTATTTACCCTCAGTAGTTTCATCAAATAACTTTACGATAAAGTATCTTTTCTTCTCAAAAGCCGTGCTTAAAAAAAATATATGTTTATATCTAAAACTATAGCGGCTAAGAAGAGATCGCACACTCTATGAACTAAGAAAGGAGAGAATTTATAATGGTTGACTGAGATAGTATGTACGACCTGATCTTCGCCTTGAATTTTGCAGAAAAGTCTCTTTCTTTGAACAAGAAGGGAGGGAACCCCAAAGCTCAACAGCCGCAAAAGCAAAACTATTCTTAACGTAGTTTGTTCTTGCTTTGGGCATGTAGAAGGACAACTTAACCTTCAAGGGTTGACGTAAACCCGCGCGCCCATTTCTTTCGTCAACACTTACGTTTCTGCTTACGTTCGCTTTTCACGCGTGTGAACGGGAACAACTTAAACGCAAGCACAAATGCAAGGTGGAAAGTGCTCAACTGTTATGTTGGGTTACAGAATGATCAAGTGCACTTTTGTATCTCTGTGCCTGTGTTTGCGTTGGACGTGGTAACTTGTCTGCCTCGTTCCTAGGCGTCTCAAGTGTGTTTGGGAAACGGAACACGCGACTTCAAGCGACAGTATCGCGCAATGGACCATGGAAACGTTTAGCGTTGACGCAAAGGGCGCTGGGAAGGGTGAACGCCTTTCTCATGATACTATGATCCAGTCACTCTCCAATCCGCCAGAACGCACCTGGGTACGAGGCAAGGAACTTGTGCTTCCGCTAGCAAAACAAATATTAAATGTTTCCAAGGAAGTTGTAGAAAGTGCAACTTTTGTCCACACCATAGAATAAAAAAAATCTTTATTATTATTATTATTATTATTATTATCATCATCATTTACTGATTTATTTGATTTGACCTTTAAACAATCTGTTCAAATTCTTTTCGTCTGTTCTTTTTTTAGCTGTGGGCGTAACACAGACTACGAAGTCATTTTACAAAGCTGTGCACTCAGTGATTACCAAAGTCCTAACTGCTAATGGTTACTCTGAAGTGAACCTTTCGAAATTGTTTAGTAGTTTCTTCGTGTAGAAACAGTGAAAAAGTTCATACCCTCCGTTAGAAAATCTGAAGCAAAGCCCATATCAGTGATGCGTTGCGCGTGGTTGCCGCGCTTTGCTCTGATTGGTTGGTTAAGGCTAGTTTCTCTCATGTGCACTTTTCGACGATATCGTCTAATTGCCAGTTTTCCCGCCAGTCAGTCAGTTCCCCGACTTAACAACCTGACCAATTTGTACGCTGTTTTCATTCACTTAGCGAGTACTTTAATTATTCTACAATTACGATATTGGCAAGTAATTAGATGGAAAACAACGCTTTGAAAGCAATCCTATAATTGAACAAAGAATTACGTGCTTATTTCCTAATGTATATAAGTGTGCTTTCTTTTAAGGTCAAGACTATACGTCTGTAGATGTCTCCTTATAACAGCACGTTTAATCACGTCGCCCGTGCAATGTTTTTTCCAATTTATCTAAATAAAATTTGTTTAAGAATTTCAGCCTTACACTAATTGATTTTAAAAGAATCGTTGAAATCTGGTCTTATAGGATGTTCATTGTAGGAGTTGTTTGCCTGTTGAAAGTTTTAATTCCGAATAATCTCCGACAGACAAAGACAACGTTTTGGCGAGCACCTTCGGAGCATCGAGAGCAACTTGCCTGGTTTTCCTGCCGCTGTGTATTTTACACGGTTGGTCTCTCCATTAACGACGCTCTTGCTCTGCGGGGAAAACGCGCAACGGGTGCGCCTGGTGATGCCCCTTCCGTTTCCTCTAGACTGCGCGCAGAGCCCCCGCGCACCTAAAAGGTTTTAATTTTCACTTCCTAAGCGTACATAAAAACCTTGCACCGGCTCTAACGTACTTGCAATGCCACTGATGAGGAGCCAGGCCCGAAACGTTGGAAAACAACTTCAGATAAAACAGGAACTTTTGCTCCTATTTTACTTTTTAATGAACAATTACTTTGTTTATATATCACTATGGGATACTGAGCATGCGCAAAAGGTAAAGATGCCTTGCGTCGAAGGAAATCTTATAGAATGATATCAATTAATATAACTGACGCCCGTTTCGTGCCAGACGCCGGTTACGCGCGCTTCTTCAAAATTTCCCCCCTCAGCCCTAAAAATCCCGCCCCTACTTCGCAGGCTATAATTGGAGGACTGAAAAAGTCCGTACGATCTTTTTACCATATGTGCTATCAGGCGCTGTTTGGATTACAAACAAGTTCTGTTCTGTTTTGTTCTAGAAACAGGAATCCACAGAACCCTTACCAGTAATCCGGATCAAGGTCATGGGTCGATTCCCACTGGGAGCTGAGAAAGTTCCTGTTCTTCCGAGAAACACTTGAATTCCTGCGAGGCAGATTTTGTCAGGGTCTGGGATGATGGAAAGGTACTCGGGGAGGGGCCGGGGGGGGAACTCCCAAGAAAAAGACCGGGATACTCTTCGTCTCGCTTTTATAGGGGTGAAAAATTGCAGATCTCGGCCTCACTTGTGGTGTGCAGGACTGAAAGCACGATCAACTCCAGCTGAGAGCCAAGATTGTTAGCCATACATACAAAGGTATCTCTCATTGGGGTTCTGCCAAAGAAATTAACTCTATAAAACAAACCAAGCACCCGCTGTCAAACTCTGTTGAATACATCTTAAACACGAGAATATAGCTCTTATAGCGTTATAGCTCTTAGCTGTCTGTTTTCAGTCGACTTAGTGGTGCAAATAAAGCCTGTGCTTCGCCCAGCTTGGTTTTCGTTGGGAGATGAATTTAGTCCTGACGAGCATCTCCGTCGCATTCCTCCCCTACCCTACCCCTGTAATTTTTACGCCAGCCACGTTAGCTATTCTTGAACTTTGGACGATTTACTTTCCTCAGAACAACGAAGTTTTGTTAGATTAGCTCATATCACGTGATTCAGAGCATCAAGTCAATAACTGAAGACGCCCTCTGAACCACTCACTAAACTGCATAGTCTCGATACAACACTACCTCTCCTCTCTTATCCGGGGCTTTGGAACTAAGGTTTGTTTAAGATTTTACAATTTTGTATTTCATGGCTTATGAATTAACAATACCGTGTGTGGATTTTGTAAAGAAAGTCATTTTCGTGTTTAAGGCATATTCCGACCTTGTAAATTGGTTGGTGCTCGACTGAAGCATTTCCCCCATGGCAAGATAACTAATTATGCCTCGTATTTTCTAGAATGAATTTAACCTCTCACAATTCTCAGACTATCTTGTTCACCAGCCATAATAAACTTAATTGCAGATGGTCGAGAGCTTTAATATCTCTCATGTTTGGCGTTAATCTTTCTATCTGTTGACTGTCCGTTTAGAAGCCTTAAATTGGGGAGAGAGAAATCGGTTACCAAAAAAATATATCTAGTTCTTGATGTCCCATTACATTTCGGTTCGGCCATCAACGAAAGCTTTCTGAGCAAATGTTCCTTGAAAGATGAAATATTTCGCCAATGGAAGTTTCAATGAGCTTGAATGTGAAAGCATCTGAGTTATGAACGCTATTTCGAGAAATGGATAATACACTGCATCTCAGTGGTACAAACTGCAGTGACACAACAAGTGAAAAGTCTAAAAGGAAATCATTGTCGAGGAATGACTAAACTAAAATGATAACCTGCTCGACAAACAATGTTAGTGAAATAAGGCAACTGTTAAGTGTTCATCATATAACTTCAGAATGATAAAACTCCTTTAAAAGGTCACTCCGGAACGGAAAATATCGCGCGAATGACAGCGACAGTTCTGCCAAATCACAGTGCAATGGAAAAATCAGGAGCACCCAACGAGGATATAGTTCAAAACCACTTAAACATAGCATTGTTAAACGTATTTTAGTATTTAAGCCGTAGATATAGGCATATTTTTATCCCCTACAAATTTTTCATCTGTTCGGATTTCCTAGCTGAAAGTCTAGTGATCCGAAAATTATAGGGATCAAAACTTACCTTTCCGAAAGTTTCAGCTAGAAAAAAGGCTCCCGAAAATTCAAGGTGACCTTTTAAGGGTAAAAATCCGTTAAAAATGGGCAATTATACCATTTTTTAGATGTTCGAAAATCCTAGGAGAAGCAGGCTAGCAAGAAATTTTACAACAAATGTTCCGAAAATTGTAGATCGCAAATCGTCTTCCGAACAGATATTTTCCGAAAATTGTCGTTGGGTGCCCCTGAAAAATCAGAGTTCACTCCTTCACTTTACTTATTTTCATATTCACTTTTGTCTCCGTCCTTTGCATATTAAAACTTTACTTCAACCCAAAGAAATCTGCTACTGAACCTGTGACGTATTAGAGAGACGCTCATAATTTATGTGAACGATACATGGCTTGACCTCTTAGTCTACTTCTGAAGCTTCTATTTTTCTCATGAGCAGAAATCACCAATTATGTCTCTCATGATCAGAAGCAGATATAAACTACCTTTGAGATAAAAGCCACGATAATGACAATGTACCCTGGCTCCAGAGGTCCGTTCTCGAAATATCTAGGATGAAATAAACCGTGCTCGCGGTTCACGAATTAGATAAGAAAAAAAATGACCCCTGGAACGCGGATAACGAATATGTCGCCAGAAAATTAAATGTAAAGTGAAGCAAAATAAGGTGCTAGAACTCAGGCTGACAAAGAATTTGGTTGGATTCTTGCAACTTTCCCTTTATTTCAGACCAAATTAGGAGCTTTTTGCTACTCTGTTGCTGAACTGATCGAAAATTTGACGCCCTGTTAAAGTATTGTGTCCCCAGTAACTGCTTTGATCTGCTTTGACATTAGAGAAAAGCATACTTAGTGTAACCCCGCTATACCAAGAGAGAATCAGCTTGTCTATACCTCGTTTTAGAACTGACTCAAAATGAGACAGCCGTTTCAGTTCAAGCATTGAAAACGTTTCGTCTTGTAAAATAATAACGAATATCAAGTCAAACACAACCCTTTCTTAAACCAGAAAGCTTGAAGCTGAAGTCTTAAAAATTGACTCCCTTAGCCCCCCCGCTCCCCATCTCTTAAGGAACGAATCGCAAAAGGCGTCTTTTGTGCTTACCGCGATTGCGTAATTTCTCATCAAACTCCGTGACAGGCACATGTCATGTCAAGTATCGTATTTAAATCCACAAAAATCTTAGATGTGATTTGATTCCCCTTATTATTTACACAAGTCACAGTATTGATATTGCGTATTCCTTTTCAGTCAAGTTGAATATTTCACAGTCAAGAATCGCGTGAAGGAACCCTTGCATACCATCGTCCACTTCATCTTCTTTAGAGCCTTTATGATCAGGTTTGTGTTTCATTTTCAACCTAGTTTTACAGTCATTTAGTATTAGTATAGTATACAGCTTCCTTATAACCCCCGTCATTTCGTATGTTTGTAGCAAGTCCCTCTATCGTATGATATTTTTAAAATATCTTTACTGACGCTGAAAATAAAACATTCATGGTACTTCATTCTGCAGTCAGCAAGGATTCACTCTAAATTGAAAGTATCTCTTGACTTCAATCCCCGACAGATTGATGTCGATGAATGAACAACCCAAGAAAGCCACACCCAATTAGTTCTTTACCTCAATCCTTACGACTTCCGCTAAACTCTACCTATCTATTTTAACCTTAGTCATCTCCCGTTAAAGCCGGAATGGTTTGTAGTGTTCACTGTCGCAGTTTCATTTATGACTTATTCCTGTTTATTGTGTTGATTACTAGTCACTTGTTTGGAAAACAACCCAAAATAATATTACTCATCTTAAAGCAGTTTCTGGACCTTCTACAGAAATCTGCAGGCATTCGCTCGCTCAGTATCCAGACTTAGCTTAGTGAATGGCGTGTATGAATGCACGCTTGTTTTTGTGAGATTTTTATCTAATGATATTTTAAAACATTTTAGATCTAATATCAAAATCAGCGTCTCTATACTATGAAAGTAAAAGTATAAACCCTATTTAAAAAATTATCGTTACAAATCAAACTGTAATTTTCTCGTAAACAGATGTTGAATGGACCGGCCCCCAGTTTGTT